CCATTTTTAAAGACTTTGGTATGTCTCGGCCAGGGGACAGAACCCAAAGCCTTCCTCACAGGGGCGAACGCTCAACAAATGGCCAAAAGTGAGGCATTGTCAAGGGAGACATTAGGAAGAAGAAAGTTATTTAGAAAGGAGAGAAGAGATAAGGTCCCAAATTTAGTCGCCTCTTACGATCATGCAATTGGGGGCAGCAGGTACAATTCTTACGCCCTACCTGCAGGGTCTATGAATCAATATTCAGTATTAAAGGTTTCATTCAGTAAAAGAAGTTGGATTTACCTAGCTACTAGCCATCGAATGACTGTTTTAACTTGAGCTGTTATCCAAAGGCTAACTAATATATATCCACATGAATTTCATAGGATAACAGTTGCTGCCTGAATTCCTTTTTCTCCTTATAGCTACTTTTATTATGTTAATCCTTAAGTGATTATTCAGCTTATATTAATGAAGCTGATTTTTTTTATGTCAAACAGGACCACACGAAATTAAAAGTAAAAAGTATTTATACTTCGTAGATGGACCAAACTGGGGGCACCTGCCTAACCACATGGGTTTTCTCTGGGTATTCTTGTTTCCTTCCACATTAATTAGATGCCCTTCACACTTCCCTCCAGGGCAATAATTAGAGTTTATTATATAACCATTTTGATATCATACCCCTTATATCAGCCCGAGTGTCCCAAGATCAGCCAGTGGGACCGAAGACCCCGAGGGCTGATATCAGGACCAAGGGCTGATAAGAGGTGTAGACATATGATAATAGTGATTAAAATAAGTTCGAAAAAATTGTTTCAAAATTGTTTCAAAATTATTTCAATTTTAACGACAGACTTCAAAGCTAGCTGCTTTCATCCTCACAAGGCTCTTCAGGTTAATTTCACAACATTGTGACATCGGTTGATCATAAGATCGTATTTTTTTCTATACTTAACTTACCTACTTCACATTGACATTGAATCTTTTGAATTATTTATCAAACTGTTGTTTTTTTCTTTGCTGTTGTTAGACAGCCACTACTTTAAAGCATGTAAGTGGTCATTCGGTTCCATATATTTGATCTTGCGTTACACTTACAGGACCACCATTAGTATCAATGCCTGACCTAAATGAAGCAGTGGAATGTTTAGGCGTTCGTGGAATGGAGCTGTTAACCAGATTACCCAGGCTTTTTGTTGAGCAGGATTACGATGCATAAGTCCTTACCATGGGAACAGACAGGGTGCTGGCGTTGTTGCCCTGTAGTACATAACTACAGCTGACCATCAGGTAGTCCTTATAGCCCTTCGGGGCATTCGGCTGCACCACTGACCACTGCTTATGTTTCATTGCCACCTGTCGAAGAAATAGAACGCAAAAAAAGATAGAATTTCAACCATAGCATTCCCTTCCTCTTACACTGGCTGGTATGTGGCATGCACATTTGTATGTGATAATCAATTATGGTAAAGAAATACCTCATATTTAATATCTGTAGCAAGCAAAGCTAACCTAGCTTGGAAAATACAGGGCTACATTCGTGTATCTTGGTTGAAACTGTACGTGTGGCGCAGACATTTTCCACGATAAACCGTGCAAAATTTTCCTGAGGTCAGCCTCGGTCCAGATCTGTGCCTGTCGTTTTCTTTACAGGATCAACCAGTTGAACCGTTTCAACTGGATACGCGACTGTCCCCCCTGTCTTTTATTTTACTCGTTACATCAATTAACGTTTTTGTTTTTTTTTAAACATTTGGAGGTTATTATTTTTTAACAAGAAAATATAGCCGGTTGTACATGTTTGCCTTTTCTAAAGAATGGAGGCCCTTCACTTCATTTTTTAATTACATCTGGAGAAACATTCCTTAGGCCGTACCTGTCTCCTGATAGAAAGATACAATTCAAAGGGATTGGGAGGTTTCTCATAGGACACCGGCGGCAGTTGTACAATTGGAGGTGGTTCCGGTGGTGCAGGCTGCGATACAGTATTTGTCTCTATTTTTGATCGTAACTTTCGCTTCCTCGGGTACATGTCAAAAGCCTCCTCCTCCTCTTTGCTGTTCTTTGAAACACTTGACGTTGGTTCTTCTTTAGGTGATGTGTCATTGTTCCCTGTTAACAGCACATGATAATTGTATGTTATAAAAGGTCACATAAATTTCCATGCAGAAATTGAAAGACGGTGCTTTTTTACCCTTGTACATCTACATTTCCATAAATTTGTTTATAAATATGCATACACATATATATACTTTGTGCCAGACAGTGCCATGCATTCTCATCATCATAAAGCTAGCTGCTCTGTGCCATTTCATTATTTCATCTTTTTGGCCGAGAAAAGATAATAAATTGTAGGTTAACAAACCTCATTTCTTACTGTGTTGTCGTCTTCTTGGCCCGAAAAGATGAGAATCAACAATTTAATTATCATTGTTTCGTCTTTTTGGCCCGAAAAGACAAGAATTGACAAATCTTCATACTCATTCTTTCTCATTCGTGATCAACCAAAAAATACGGAGCTACAAGAATTTAAGTTACTAAATGTTGTCTTTTTGCCCGAAAAAAGGCGAAAAATGAACAAAATCGCAAATCAGCCACGATATCATGCGGTATGTGTATAAAGGTACAGACACTGGTATTTTTACTGTATAAGCAATAACCACTATATTGGCAACATTTAAACATGTGTGCACACCATCTGTAGCTATGATAGCTGGATACATCAATATTACATATATATATATATACAGGTGGAGATTTTTTCAAAACCTTCTGGTATCTTGGGCATATGAATCCTTAATTTCTACTCAAGATGAACTCAATGAAACTACCAAATCTTGTCTGTTATATTTTGCCCATGAAATTGACCAGATTACCTTGGCCTGTCCCAGCTGCAGTTCACTAGATTTGTTTCAGGACCAACTCAATTCATCATCTCATGAATTCAAATCAACCAAAGGAAGATTAAAATCTTAAATATTTACAATAAAAACTTACAACCTGGGTGCCGTGCCAGCTTTCGACAGGATATATAATTCTGCAATATAAAATCTACCTTGTTTTTCCTGTTTATCTCCACCCTTCTCTGGTTTTTCTCCCTTGTGATGTTTTTCGTGCGTCTGTTTTTGCTGAAGTGCAGCCTGTGTGTGAGATCGTAAGGTCCTTGTGGATCGCTGTGTACTTTCTTTGTCCTCCTCACTTTTTTCTTTCTCCCTTTCACTTTCCTTACCACTACCACTTTTGACACTACCAGAATCTTTGTCCCTGTCCTGTTCCCTCTCCCGGTCTCCGGGTAGACTCGGAGTAGCCAGACCCTCCTCCACAGAATCTACCGACACAGACTGTTTACAATTTTCTAACACCGAGACTTTGTCATCTTTGTTTGTATCTTTTTGTGAACTCTGTTTATCACTGTCCTTTGATGCTGTGTTACTTTCCCGCGACGACGGGCGGGAGGAGGCGGGACTACTTGTAGTAGGAACCCCCTCCTGCGGAAGTGTTGTCATGGGGATGGGCTGATTCATTTGTGATGATTTTGCTGCGGCTTCCTGTTCTTGTGTGGGATTTATCACGTACGGAAGTGCATGCTTTGAGGAGTGTGACTTCACAAAAACCGACTCCAAGCTAGCCGTTGAGGTTGATGCCTTGGGGGGAATTATGATTTTTAATGGTGGTACTTTTGGCGATGTTGGTCTACTGTAACTTTCCCTGCCATCCTTGTCAGACTTTGGAGAATTGTTTTCTTGGTCCTGCTCAGATTTAGTTGGACTTTGTCTGCCCTCAGATTTTGTGGATGGCAGAAGATTGCCCCACTCATCAATGTTTTTGGGAGAAGAGGAGGAGGACGAAGAAGAGCGTAATTCCCATTTTAGCCCTGAGGACGAGGCGAGGGTATCACCGCTCCCCGCCCCAATGTTATGACCTCCTCCTCCCCCGTCCTGGGAGCCGTTAATACTACTCACAATCATCCCACTAGAAACACTGTTCCTCCTTGGAAATGACATGGAACTAGTGGCGACAGGAGCTGTCCGTTCCGATCCTAATCTGTCCGACGAAGAACTCACTACGGGTACAACTACACTTTGAGAATTATGTAACTCACCGATGTTCTTATCGACCACAGTTGTAAAGAGAGACGACAATGTAGATGAAGATGAAATTACCGGGTTGGTGGTGGTTGTGCTGACTACGGAGGTGGTAGTGGTATTTAGGAGAGCGATTGGTTTGTGTCCCACACCGTTACCGTGACCGGGATCCGACACAGATTCTTTTAACTTGGTGCGATTGTTCGAGTTACTGCTATGCGGAATGTGTGTAGACTGTTCCCCAACACTCGCCCTCCTACCACTCTGTGACAACGTAATCAATGATGAGGATGTCAGTGATGATGAGGATGATGCTAACACAGATGCTATGGAGAGGGGAGGGGGGTCTTTGAGTTCACTATCACTCTGTTCATTATCACTAAAATGTGGAGAAAACGCTTGTGTTTCCATCATTTTGAGGTGGAATTTTGTTGGGGGAGTAGGAGCCGGGTTGACCATTGACTCAGCATTTTGACCATCTGGCTCTAGATTACTGAGCCTCTCAAACTCACCCATACCAAGTCTTAATCCAAGCTCAACACTAGAGGAAGAAGTCACTTTTGTTTTACTACCTGATATTACACTTGTCAAGGGCGTGTGATCGTCCACACGGTTCCCAGACGTATTCCCCTGACCTGAAAACTGGCTCAATCCTTCTCGGACATTGAGCCCCCCGAGCCCAGTGAGCCCAGTGAGCCCAGTGAGACCACTAAGCCCAATTCTATCTCCACCATGTCCTACGTGTCCACTAAGCCCTGCATGTCCGATTCTATCGCCACCTAACCCAGAGTGTCCGAATCTATCGCCACCTAGCCCGACATGTCCAATTCTATCGCTACTTAGTGGCCCAATATGTCCCATTCCTTCACCACTTAACCCTATTCTGTCCCGTGTTAACACACTAGGCCCAAGGCCATCTTCACTGTCCATAAGGTTGACCCGCACTTTGTCCAAACTCCTAACACTGTCCAGCTGAGGGTCATATAGGTCACTATCCACACTGGACACTGGACTGTCTACAGACAAGAAATCCTTGTGTTCACTTGGCCCCATTGTAACACTATATGATGTGAAATGAGGTTCTTTTGAAGGTTTGTCGTGAAATTCGTCAGCTTGTTCCCGCTGAAACTTCAGAAACAGACGACGAGGTGATGACATTTTTTCCGATTTGGGCATTAGCGACCTCCTACTGCTAAGCGCCAACTGATTGGAACTTCCATCTTGTTTTGGCAGTCTCGATAGGTAGTCTGTAACACAGAAAGAAACACTTCATAAAGAATAGTGTTTGGGTGATTTTTCAAAATTTTGGTAGCCTGATAAATTTCTGTGATCTGGCATCAAACAATTATACCAGATCACTAGTAAGACGTACGAGGTGGAACAAACACGGAAAGCCTGCACTTACTTAAAAGTAGTTGCTAAAGTAAGTGTCGTAGAATGTTGGGATACCTCACCTTGACAATTAGTAGACAACCAACATCAAACAGCAAGATATCCACATGATATATGCCTACAGAAACTCTGAGGAAAACAACAAAATGTGATCACAGAAACCCTATCGTAGGCAAAACAACATCCTTCGCATGCTATACTCATTGATTTCCAGGCATAGGAAGAGTAGCTCGGCCTCGACAACATCGTTGGGAGTGATAGACACTAAATTTTATATAATTGCGTTCTTTTATCCTTCTTAACTCATTCACCCCTACCTATCTAAACTGGACTTGCCCAGTATTTGATTTGGTAAGGTTGAAATGTGACTTCAGGGGTGAATGGGTTAAAGATAGATCCATCGTATACATTGGCACCTCCTCAATCTGGACATGGTAATCCTTTAAATAAGCTTTTTTGACACTTTCATCAAGTGACAGAATAAGTGACAATGTTAACTTCTTGTTTCATCAATAAGGAAACATCCTTATTACAGAAACACGTGTTCAGTTTAACAATGTCATGCTAAATCTTCATCAATTAAAGTTTGTTCAATTAATTTCAGTTTAACAATGTCATGCTATATCTTCATCAATTAAACCTTGTTCAATTAATGACAGTTTAACAATGTCATGCTATATCTTCATCAATTAAACCTTGTTCAATTAATTTCAGTTTAACAATGCCCTGCTATATCTTCATCAATTAAACCTTGTTCAATTAATTTCAGTTTAACAATGTCCTGCTATATCTTCATCAATTAAACCTTGTTCAATCAATTTCAGTTTAACAATGTCATGCTTTATCTTCATCAATTAAAAAGCTTGTTCAATTAATTCCAAAAGATCATTTAAAAGGGGCATCTCCTGAGACAGATTTTAAATTGTGAAAATATATATACTACTGCAAATGTCACTGATAAATTCAGGTGGCCACTATAACAGTTATACAATAGCTTTTTTGTCCTAGAAAATAAAATTCTATAAAATACAGTTAATTTATTAGATACAACTGAACTCAACTAAAACACTTGATTCCTCAAATGCCTTAGTACTTGAAAGTTAAAGCAACTGATATGGATATGGACTCGGAAAATGTCAGTAGTTTCGTAACCCGTTTTGACGTCCTACACGAGTTCCCCCTGCAGTCCAGTTCGCTGAACTAACAAAATTTTCCCTGGATACTGACCATCAGAGTCTGTATTTCTGTTATCCTCGTCCTTCAGAGACGAGTTACTCTCTGGTGAGGTGGGTGAGCGGGCGTCGTCCAGACTTGAGCTGTCACTACTAGATGTGATGATTTCCTTCCTCAGCAGCTTCACCATGTCTGGCGTGGCCGCCACATCCATTGGCGTCTTGCCCTGAAGATTTGGCTGAAGCGGGTTGGCGCCATGCTTTAGGAGTAGCTCCACCAGCTAGGGGAATCAAACCACAGAGAAAATAAGTCAAAAGTAATACTGATATAATACTACTTAACCCTTTCACCCCTATGTGACTTTAGTAGACTTTACTATGCATTGATATGGATGAGTCCATTATGGTCTACAGTGGTGAAAGGGTTACATAAATGAAATCCAATTTGATGTAACAACCCATCACTTATAGTTAGCCTGTTAAATGAACCCATTCACAATTGAAAATAGGCAATTTCTTCATGAGTTGTTTTTACCATTACCTTCAAAACATTACCATAACTAACATCATAAATAGATCATTGAAAGATTATCAAGTGATGAAATTAAAGTATACATTTCATTCACAAAAGACCTATTCATGAACTACAAGCCTGCATAATTGGCTGAAAATTCCCAAATTTACACGTTGACATTGAACCTGTCATAATGCATTTAATGTCATTTCATTTTGAGATGAAAATCATGATGCCATGCATATATTTGGAGCAGCTTTGCCAACCAAAACTTCTGTTGATGAAATACAATACTTTGATTTTTTTAAAAAGATTTTGTTGTTGTTGTGATTTTCAGGATATTGCCCAAGTTGATTTTCTAAAATACTTAGTAGCCTGATAAATTCCTGTGATCTGGCATCAAACAATTGTACCAGACAACAAGTAAGACATACCAGGTGGAACCAATACGAGAGGCAAGTCTAACACTTACTTTAAAGTAGTTGTGAAATTAAGTGTTTGTAGAATGTTGGGATACCTCACCTTGACAATTAGTAGACAACCAACATCAAACAGTGAGATATCCACATGATATATGCCTACAGAAACTCTGAGGAAAACAACAAAATGTGATCACAGAAACCCTATCGTAGGCAAAACAACATCCTGCTTTATACGCATGGATTTTGAGGCATGGGAAGATCTAGAGCAGCTCGGCCTCAACAACAGTGTCGTGAACTCTAATTTTACATCATTGCATTCTTTCATCTCATTCACCCCTACATATGTAAGCCTCGGCTTTGATAAGGTAAGGTTCAAATGTGACTATAGGGGTGCACTCTTTTATTTCATTCAGCCCTACATATGTAAGCCTCGGCTTTGATAAGGTAAGGTTCAAATGTGGCTATAGGGGTGCACTCTTTAATCTCATTCACCCCCCCATATGTAACCCTCGGCTTTGACATAAGTAAGGTAAGGTTCAAATGTGACTATAGGGGTGCACTCTTTTATCTCATTCACCCCTACATATGTAAGCCTCGGCTTTGATAAGGTAAAGTTCAAATGTGACTATAGGGGGGCACTCTTTAATCTCATTCACCCCTACATATGTAAGCCTCGGCTTTGACATAAGTAAGGTAAGGTTCGAATGTGACTATAGGGGTGAATTGGTTAACTGAAGCAGCAAATATTCCACAAACAAATATGGAAACTACTGAACAAATATGAGGTACAAATGACAAAACAAATCGGCAATATTCATTAATCCTAACACTACTACCTTTCCATGGCCGTTACATGCAGCGTCATGTAAGGGGGTGTCGTTTTCTAGTCCCTGGACGTTGACGTTGGCCCCAGCCTTCAACAGCTGTTTGGCGATGGGTAGAAAACCTCTATTACAGGCCTCATGTAGCGCTGTCCACCCTGTGAACATAAAAAATCTAGGGTAATAACAGAAAAAATATGTTCTGCATTTCTATTTACTTTACTTTTTCATGCATATAACTTTATTTTGGTTGACTTTAAAATATTAGAGTATGAAATAATGTCTTTGTAAAAATATTTTTTTAACAATTTTTTTTTTTGAAGAAACATTACTGATATTTTCAGATGATTCAAAGGCTGTATGGTATCAATATGCAGTCAAGTTTTTTTCGTAGTACATCATATTTCATTTAATTGTAAGTGTAGGACACCTCACCGTGATTCTAAACACAAAAGCTTCAAATCAAACCAATGTGACATCCGTTTATATTTGCCTACAGAAACTCTGCAGAAAACCAGATACTGTCATCGCAGAAACCCTATCGTGGGCAATGCTTGATTTTGTTTAAATATAATTAATTATGTTCTGCATTTCTATCTACTTTACTTTTTCATGCATATAACTTCATTTTGGTTGACTTTAAAATATTTGAGTATGAAATAATGTCTTTGCTAAAATATTTTTTTTAACAATATTTTTTTTTGAAGAAACATTACTGATATTTTTAGATGATTCTAAGACTGTATGGTATCAATATGCAGTCAAGTTTTTTTCGTAGTACATCATATTTCATTTAATTGTAAGTGTAGGACACCTCACCGTGATTCTAAACACAAAAGCTTCAAATCAAACCAGTGTGACATCCGTTTATATTTGCCTACAGAAACTCTGCAGAAAACCAGATACTGTCATCGCAGAAACCCTATCTTGGGCAATGCTCAATGCTTAATTTTGTTTAAATATAATTAATCATGTTCTGCATTTCTATCTTCTTTACTTTTTCATGCATATAACTTTATTTTGGTTGACTTTAAAATATTAGAGTATGAAATAATGTCTTTGTAAAAATATTTTTTTAACAATTTTTTTTTTTGAAGAAACATTACTGATATTTTCAGATGATTCAAAGGCTGTATGGTATCAATATGCAGTCAAGTTTTTTTCGTAGTACATCATATTTCATTTAATTGTAAGTGTTGGACACCTCACCGTGATTCTCAACACAAAAGCTTCAAATCAAACCAATGTGACATCCGTTTATATTTGCCTACAGAAACTCTGCAGAAAACCAGATACTGTCATCGCAGAAACCCTATCGTGGGCAATGCTTAATTTTGTTCAAATATAATTAATTATGTTCTGCATTTCTATCTACTTTACTTATTCATGCATATAACTTTATTTTGGTTGACTTGAAATATTTGAGTATGAAATAATGTCTTTGTTAATATATTTTTTTTAACAATATTTTTTTTGAAGAAACATTACTGATATTTTTATTTGATTCTAAGACTGTAAGGTATCAATATGCAGTCAAGTTTTTTTCGTAGTACATCATATTTCATTTAATTGTAAGTGTAGGACACCTCACCGTGATTCTAAACACAAAAGCTTCAAATCAAACCAGTGTGACATCTGTTTATATTTGCCTACAGAAACTCTGCAGAAAACCAGATACTGTCATCGCAGAAACCCTATCGTGGGCAATGCTTGATTTTGTTTAACTATAATTAATTATGTTCTGCATTTCTATCTACTTTACTTTTTCTTGCATATAACTTAAAATAATTTTTTTAACAATATTTTTTTTTGAAGAAACATTACTGATATTTTGAGATGATTTCTAAGACTGTATGGTATCAATATGCAGTCAAGTTTTTTTCGTAGTACATCATATTTCATTTAATTAAAAGTGTTGGACACCTCACCGTGATTCTCAACACAAAAGCTTCAAATCAAACCAATGTGACATCCGTTTATATTTGCCTACAGAAACTCTGCAGAAAACCAGATACTGTCATCGCAGAAACCCTATCGCGGGCAATGCTTAATTTTGTTCAAATATAATTAATTATGTTCTGCATTTCTTTCTACTTTACTTATTCATGCATATAACTTTATTTTGGTTGACTTGAAAATATTTGAGTATGAAATAATGTCTTTGTTAAAATAATTTTTTTCACAATATTTTTTTTTGAAGAAACATTACTGATATTTTTATTTGATTCTAAGACTGTATGGTATCAATATGTAGTCAAGTTTTTTTCGTAGTACATCATATTTCATTTAATTAAAAGTGTAGGACACCTCACCGTGATTCTCAACACAAAAGCTTCAAATCAAACCAATGTGACATCCGTTTATATTTGCCTACAGAAACTCTGCAGAAAACCAGATACTGTCATCGCAGAAACCCTTTCGTGGGCAATGCTTAATTTTGTTTAAATACAGTGTAAATATCACAGATAGATAAGTCTTTTGGATTCTGAGATAAGGATGGTACCCTGCTTTAAAGTTTATTTGTAGTAAAAGTGGACCTTGGCCTTGAGACTTTTTAAACCCCTAATGCATATCTACATATCACAGTGTATCGCTGTGTCAAATTTTAGAAAGGCAAGTCTTTTGAATTCCATGATAATTTCCGAAAACAAAAGTGAGGAGGGACAGTGTAATTTTTGTACAACTATTTTTTCTGGATCAAGTTTAAAATATAGCACTGTATACCAGATAGTTTTTCGCCCAATCAAACTTTTGCCCTTCACTGGTAAAATCCCTTTTTACCAAGTTTTAATTTCATCCTATACATTTGATACTATTATGTACATTTTGTTGTTTAATACTAAAGTTCGCTGTTATGATAAATTCGCCCTCATTACAGAGGGTGAAAAGCAAAAAATTAAACTGCAGCGAATATTTCCCATTGTGGCTCATCTTGAGCAATCATGGGAAAATGTTCCCGAGGATGATTGGAGTTTATCTATTCTATTGAACAGTTCAATATACTACTGTTTGAAAATGAGAATGATTCTACCTCTATTACAATTTACTGTTTTTTCTGGACATCTTCATCTCCCCCTTTTGGTACACATAAACAAAATTATTGTTAGAATATTTCTAAATGTTTCTTTGACTTGTATTGTTGGATACCCGACAATGACAAGCAGTATAAAACTGGATATCACACAGCGAGTAATCCACATAATTTATGCCAACAGATACTCTACAGAAAACAAGAATCTGTTATCGCAGAAACCCTAACGTTGGCAAAAGTAAAGCTAGTTTTTTTTTAAATAATAGGATTTTGTAATTTATATGCAGTGACTAAAAGACAGCTTTTTAATAAGTATGTTGTGACTTAAATGAAAATTTTATGAACAAGTTGGAACTTCCTGAAGATTTTTGAACAGCATTTCATCCCTGCCATTTCTTTTTCTTCAAAATCGGTAAATGATAGGTTTAACTGTAATTATAAACAATCTTAAGGATATTCTATAGATGAAGTTTGTGTCAGTTTTTTCCCATAAACCATATATTTATTAATAACATAGCACCCAAAAATAATCAAGATTTCAAAAATGAGCCTGGGTGTTTGCAGTGCATTATCCTTACATACTTTTATTATGAGTTGTCAAATAAGTTCACTTAACCATTTGCTGGAAATCTTTCATATCTTAATGTGAAATCTTTTGCAAAAGGGGTCGCTTAATAACAAAGTAGGATATATCCTTAATTTAATTTAATTAAAAGTGTAGGACACCTCACCGTGATTCTCAACACAAAAGACCCTATCGTGGGCAATGCTTAATTTTGTTTAAATACAGTGTAAATATCACAGATAGATAAGTCTTTTGGATTCTGAGATATCCAATATTTGTACAAATAATACACTGCTAACCGGCAAAGTCCGCCACGTTGACGTCAGCTCCGGCTTTGATGAGTTTCTTCGTTTGTTTGATGTCCCCCTTGATGGCCGCAAGGTGTAAAGGTGTTTCTCCGCGCTCGTTGCGCTTGTGAACTTTTTTGTCGCCGGGAGTACGCTTCGGCCCGATCTGACTTACTGGCTGAGGAGAGGTGGGTTTGGATGTTGAATCTAAGGAGACGGAACAGAAAATGGAATCATGTTCATCTAAATGCATTTGTGTATAACACTATACTACTGATGTGAATTTCAACTGGATTCTTTTAATTAACTCAGAGAAATTATTTATGCAAGTATACACACTGCAGGGGTAGAAAATAAGGGTCGCCCGATAGTTTGAGATTTGCGAAATCTCAAGATGGAGAGAATCTGGATTTTAGTGGTTCTAAAATCCACTACTCTGATTGATAAGTCAAAATTTAACATCATTTATCATGTTGAATAATATTTGGTTTGTGGCATTTGCACATTGACTTGTATAATTGTAAACTTTGTTTGTAATTATTTTTTAGCCCTGCATTGGGATTACTAGTATATTGTATTAGGTACCCTTTTAACCCATATCTTTTAATGTGCGTCCCAAAACTAGATTATGCTTATTACATATCGTAATCAATTTATTCATCCAATGATCATTTGCTGTTGGTACCAAGAAAATGCTCCACAGTCTTGTCATAAATGTATTGCATAGAAAAACATATCGAAATAAATAGCACATAGAAGTCTGTCTGAACATTTTCACACATCTTCGTGACCTCTTTATCATCCACAGACAACAAAATAATTACCTTTGAAGTATAAAGATCACTACAGTGAAATTTATTTAGTCCTCCAAGGTATGGTTTTCTATTCAGAAATGATTTATCACTGTATTTCATTGTGATACATTTCTGACTGAATCAGAAATTTTGTAAAGAAACCAATTAACTTTCAATGATTTTTGACGTCCAGGACATCAAAATTACCTTGTGATGTCTCATCTGTTAATCGCATCAGAAACAACATTTGCTGACGCTCTGAAAGCGGGCCAGTTCGGGGAGAAGTGATACCACTGGGATTTTTGGGAGTGACTGGGGCATTAGATTGAGTGGGAGACGGCTCAGAGTTTAACGGCTTCTTCCTCTTTGGGGTCGCTTTCCTCTCTACAACATATAAATGTATACATATGACACGTACCAGAGGTATTTCAGTACATTCTGACATGACAATAGAAGAAATGCATACTGTAGTGTTATGCATATTTATTTTAGCAGTAATTTGGCATTAGATTAGGGCATATATACAATATAGCACTAATGAAAATAAAGGATGCTCAATAGCTAAGAAGATTTTGGCAGCATAGCTGGCCGAAATATATGTAGACAAAGAAGTAAAATCAAAAACCCTTCTAGAGGTGTGTTGAGCATCCTATATCTTTCATCATGCTTTATTAGTGGGGAGCCCCAGGGAACATACCCCGGATCCACCCTAGAACGCTTCTGCATTTTTTGGACATTAGGAGTGTTGGATTGCCTTATTTAATTACAAAGTAGCACTGAAATTAGCATGCTTGAATTATTACTTCACTAAATTTATTTACTTTTGTACATAGTTTTTGATATACCTGTTCATACTGTGGGTACATCAATTCAACAACTTCCTAATCTGTTTCTATTAACACCACAAAGTATAAGAAATTCTTGCAAATGACAAAGCAAAAAACACTTCAAAAGTTGGAATAGTTCATTAGGGGGGGGGCGGGTATTGTAGAATCATGTGGATGAAAAAATTCCATACTCAATGTATTTTCCCCCTGATGTATAACTTTACTTTTCCCTTAATTTTTCAAACTGGTACATGCATAAACATTTTTTTTTGCAAATTTCTTTAATATTTACTTTTTAACGTTATTTTCTAATTTTAAGAACTGGTGATGAAAATACCCAGCAAAAACATATCCACGTCTGTTGAGTTCTGAATAGCGTGGATTAAAGTTAAAAGGCGTTAATTATATACATGGAACAGGTGCAATCTCTTCCCTCTGCTAGTTGTTCACAGCGTAGCAGCCTCATTGAATCTGTTTGTTAATTGTATCTATTAGCTAGCCACAGCTAACTGTTAATTTACTACAGGCCCTCTTTGTATCGCTCACCTGTTTCTTTTGTTACATGAAACTGACATATAGGTAAGACCAAATTTGGTAACGAGAATACACAACATTTTAACATCTCTTAAATGCTTAAGATATTGTTGTTTGAAATTTGAATTTTAAAGCTTTTAACCCACATTGACCATTGACTCCCGACTTGCAATTAAGGTTGACCTTTGACCTCATTACTGTAATAAAGAAAACAATTCACACAGCTGGTCTAGCTAACACACCCAAGTATCATGTCCAAGGTCATTTTAATGAGGAGAATTCCATCCCAGGTACCTACTGGCCAAATAGCATGACCCTGGGACTTATGGAACTTGAGAAGAAGATTGTTCAAGCTTTTAACCCATGTTGACCTTTGACACCCGACTTGCACTTAAAGTTGACCTTTGACCTCATAACTGTACTTGAGAAAAAGATTTGCACTGCTGGTCTTCATAACATATATCCAAGTATCATGACTCTAGTTCAAATGGTTCTAATTAGGATATTTGAAGTTTTTAACATATTTCACCCCAATGACCTTGAAAGTAGGTCAAGGTCATTTTAATGAGAAACTTTATAGCACATTATCCCAGGTACTTACTAGCCAAATATCATAACATTGACATTGACATTTGACCCCCCGACTAGCACTTAAAGTTGATCTTTGACCTCATTACTGCAATTGATAAAAAGATTTGAACTCTTGGTCTACATAACATACCCAAGTATCATGACTCTAGTCCAAATGGTTCTTAAGATATTGTTGTTTGAAGTTTTTAACATATTTGACCCTAATGACCTTGGAAGTAGGTCAAGGTCATTTTAATGAGGAAACTTAATAGCACACTAACCCAGGTACTTACTGGCCAAATATCATGACCCTGGGCCTTATGGAACTTGAGAAGAAGAAATTGTTAAAGCATTTAACCCATGTTGACATTTGACCCCTGACTAGCACTTAAAGTTGACATTTGACCTCATTACTGTAATGGAGAAAAAGATTTGCACTGCTGGTCTTCATAACATACCCAAGTATCATGACTCTAGTTTAAATGGTTCTTAGGATATTGTTGTTTGAAATTTTTAACATATTTGACCCCAGTGACCTTGTAAGTAGGTCAAGGTCATTTTAATGAGGAAACTTTATAGCAATCCATCCCAGGTATCTACTGGCCAAATATCATGACCCTAGGACCTCCAGTTCTTCAGAAGAAGTCGTTCAAAAGAAAAAGTTGATGAACGGATGACGGACACCGGAGTACGGCACAAGCTCAAATGGCCCTTTGGGCCAGGTGAGCTAATAACCGATTTCAATATTTTGTTTGTTTTATAATATGAGGCCCCCTTAAAGGTGAATTTGGAGTTTCTGAACATGAGGGGAATTCAATTAATTAATTGCACATCATGAGCAGACATGGGTTGCTTCATAACATGATAATCATAATGCTATATAGCTCTTCAAAATTCTGATGAGTATTTCATAATAACTCCACAAAATCATCTTGTTTTACTTATACCAGCTGTGCTACCTTCAACAAGAGCTGTTGGAGAACAGCATATATAGCTAGCCTATTGGTGATATATGTTGTAAGATAGCAAATATCAATAGAAACAAATGTACAGTATAACTTCAATATAATGCCTGTCATTTCATTTGCCACTACACTTACCGCCAACATATTTTCAGGTCTCTAATTATGTTTTTCTTAATAATTTCTTATACATGTACCAGTTTTGACCCAAAAAATAGTGAAAATATAATTCAGAACATTGCTTACACCCCATATAAATACTTCAACCTTATAATAGACAACAGTGTATATATGCTGCATGCACGTTGTAATCTAACACCACACCAAAGTTCAATTAGGCTGTTTTTGGCCCTTAATATATGAAAATATGGTTCAGCACATTGATTACACTCAATATAATCTCCGGAAAAGTTGCGTTCAAAATGTTCAAGAAGTTGTTAAGCTACATGATCTGGTGTCTTTAGTGCAGTGAAATAGTCTACCAATTGAATTTAAAAAAATGCTTCTTCCGTTATTATTTCATTGATGAAAAGTTTAAACTTACACCAATTTTTTTTTTTTTATTAAAGGTTGTATTTAGGTATACATGTATTAAAAGGTCTTTTGAAAATCATGAATATTTCAAATTTGAGAGATAAACACAGATAACAAATTTATAGATAACTGATATTTTTTTTCATATTTACCTTCGTCTTCACAAGGACTGGATTCGGTTGCCAGGAGTTTTCGTTTCAGTGTTTTATTATCTGACTGGGGTGTCCGTACAAAAAGTGTCTTCTCCTGGTAAAAAAACAGTGTTAAATGTAATGATGAATTGAATCAATAGAAATAAATGATATATAAACTTGTATAAATTTTCAAATCCAACTTTGTGATATTTCTCAAATGGTAGAGATTACAATGTATACAATTGCCCCTTAAATGTTAGTCCAAGACTGAAATAGGCAATGAAAACGTTTACCTGAAACAGAAATTCTACTTCGAAAATGTTCGTAAAATACACATGGCCCTGCAACCACTTTCATGGAAATGTAGATAAATGCAAAACTTACCAAACTAAGAATGGATCTAAGTGCGAAGTCTAACCAATTGCAAAGTCAATGAAGAAGAAAATATAGGTCAGTGATCTCAATTTTTTTATATATACAATGTACTAAATCATTGTCTGAACTATCTATACATAAATTTAACAATTTGCGTTGCTACACATTACATGTTAACCCTTTCACCACTGTAGACCATAATGATGGACTCATCCATATCAATGCATGGTAGAGTCTACTAAAGTTACATAGGGGTGAAAGGGTAAACTGTGTGAGCCAAAAACATGGGGACATTATTTGCAATGAATAGTTCCAATGAAATGTAGTACATATAGGCCTCATAACATAAATAGATTTACATTTCTAGGAAGTGATTTGTACTTAGACCTGATAGAATGCACTTACCTTTCTAGGAGGTGATTTCTTGTCAGACATATCCGGCAATGACAACACTGAGTATTGTAAAGAAGGCATGCAGACTTCTTGACACTTGAACTTGGTTCTAGGTGACCAGACATTTGGCTTTCTTTGTTGCAACCGCGCAAATGTGTTCTTTGTCATTTATGCTTGGCATCTGAAATGGTTTTCAAAAATGATTCAAACTTACAATCACCTATAGATTAGTCACCAACTTAAATAATGTTGCTAAAACAACAACAAAAACTGATTTATGCAGAAATATAGTTAGCTCTTTTTGAAATGGTTTTCAAAAATGATTCAAACTTGTATACAATCACCTATTGATTAGTCACCGACTTAAATAATGTTGCTAAAACAACAACAAAAACTGATTGATGCAGAAATATAGTTTGCTCTTCCATCACAGCAGGAAACCGGGCTGGGTAATATAAGTTAACTGTATATGAGCTTTATATAGCATGACGCTAGCAATAAAGATCAAAGTTTTCTTTAACCAGATGCTAACTGATGAAGAAAGCTGTTAATTTTATAACAGGTGAACGTGCTTTCAAACATCTGTACGCTAGTCAATACTTAAGATTCCTGAGGCTTTTTTTATAAACAATTGCAAAGTCGGTTTTCAATTGTGTGTCCATCTGCAAATGGTTACTTATGGTGCAAGATGTACATGTAGTAACAGAAACATTACCGATACTAATTCAAAGGTGAATTTGTTTTATTTTAATACGTATATATAGTGACCTAATTTTAATTGGTGTGATATAAAATCTAAAAGTTCAGCGGAACATTCTTACTGTGAATATGGCAGGTTTTCATGCAGTAGATTTAGAGATAAAATAAATGACTTTGTTTGCCGCAAGCAAATCTTCAAAACATACAAAACTAGATGCGGATACCCTCATTTCACAAATGAAACCAGTCCTGTTACTTGCTTGTTTCAAATACTGGTTCATTTGTGCACGTGGGGGAGGGTTTTGAAAGTGTGTTGGTCAGCTGTTGGATAAATAATACACGCTCGTGCATTTGTCTATATATTTAAATATTTACTAAATGAAAAGTGTTGTTGCATTGCAAACATGGTAGATTAATACTAAATATAGAAACTAGGATGATTTTTCTCTTCTCTCCTTGTCTGAAATATGCTATATATACAAAATAAGCAACATAACGTTACCAATAGTATATATAGACATTCTATTATAAGCTAAGATAGAACATGTATATTACTTGGTATGCACTCCTTACTGTATAACGTACCTACATGTATCCTTCTCTCCACCCTTTTTTTCGACTAGATATATATATACTACATTAAATATTTATAAAATGAGAGACTCAAACAGAAAGAATGAAAGTATGAACATAATTGTATAGACTGATACTTTGGAAGTATGAGAGAACTCTTGCATGATGACGCTAAGTTCTTTTAGAGAAGCTGACCCCGGAGCTCACTATCCCTCAGTCTTTGAACATATTTGTTGAGTAAATAAAATTGATATATATATATAGTTAGAAAAAATAATAATCGGCAAAGACTGGTCCCTGATTTCTCAATAGACACATTATGTCATTTTGCCATTAATTATCCTGACACATATTTCGTATGGAGGTCTTTAAGATAGGTTAATTAGGAAAGAATGATTTTGCTGTTTGAAAAATACCTTCATTTTTTTTTTCTCCAATACTGTTAATTAATATTCTATAACATAAACTGGTAATATTGTTTCAGAGCATATTTTATGCAAACATGTTTTCAATATATATATAAAATATAGAAAAAACTCTGAATATTTTAAATTAATTAGTTTAGCCTAAATACACAAATTGAAATAAACCACATTTTGCTCATGAGAAAGAAAAAAAAAATACATATAAAAAATGTAAAATGGAATTGATACATGTACAATTTACACAGGAAACAGTTTCTCTCTCTTTATATACTGGCCTAGGTAGCACAATAAGTTCACGAAAGACAGCATACTTCATTGTGTACATATATATACACATGAACACACGTTTACAGCAATAGTGATTATCTCATACAGGAAGTAAACATCATTTATCTCCCCTGACATGAGGAATTCAACATGTCTGACTGAGTGCACATGACCCTGTTTCAGATACAAAACTCAGTGAAATTTCAGTCACTACGGCAGAATTTTTAACCAGCAAATAAATCAAATGATGTATTTAAGTCTCAACATACAGCATAAACATGTGTAGACTTAGATGTCTTGTTTGATGTTTGTAGTCAGTAATTTAAAAGCACTGTAAATGTCCGTCTGTGAATTGTATTGTATTACAATATCAAAGTAAATTGACCTTTGCCTAGATTTACAGGCCCAGCACAAAAGGCCAACCGAGGGGTCATGACTAGAAGCAATTTGCTCAACATTTGTGAAAGGTCGACAATGAAAATTTGCAATCTGATTGCATTTGGTAGCTACATGTTCTATAAGTTAGGATTAAATTAATTATGCAATGTCCCTGTACAGGGTACTGGCAACTGAATTTTTGATATTAACTTTTAAAATAACTAACAAGTTTACAAAAAAACAAAAAAATAAAACCTTGCATTCTATTTACTTTAAAGACAACAATACCTTCTAAACATAAGCGAGTTTGAAGGCTAATTTTTCAAGAGACTTGATAATATATTGTTACAATACATCAGAGCAATTCATTAGAATGTTCACCTCTGAATTTTGTGGAAAGGTGAACGCATGCATAGAAATAAATATAACATTAATACAATTTACAGTAATTTTTAACTTGCCAATATATATCAATATTTCATAATAATAAGTTGCCAGTCTATATATAAAGTATGTTGCCTTTAGGCCTACGATCATAGCTGGTATGGATTGACCAATCAATGAAGAAAATACATACCTGCATAACACTAAACTGATAATTATAATTACTGTACTTGCAAGTCAATCAGAGGAAATGTCAACAAAATAGTATGATCGCATGAATCTGCATGTCAAGCATATCAGTCTGACAAAAAAAATATTGATTAGCTTCAGACAGTATATTGAAAATAGCCTCTTAAACATCCAGGGGATCCCTGCTGACTTGACTAATTAGCAGGGATTGTAATCCCTTTGAAAAACCATGTTAATATAAGGAAAAGGCCTTTGGGTCAGCCAGCATGCCCGTCTGTCAATCATTCATCCTTATCAAATGACCAGGTGGGAATAAACTTATGTAAACAAATATCAGTCTGTCAAATCAGTACACCAATGGGTACTAATCATGATGTACTACTACTATTGTCTAAATATACTGTATACAGGATCTGGGTGTGGCTATAGAGTCTATAAGGGTTTCAGAGCATTCCCTTCTACCACATACATATATATAAATGTATATATCAATCAGTGTTTTTATGAAAATGTCAAACAAAATATTACAATACAATAATAAATTATTTATTTATATATATACTTGTCTACTAGAAAGGAATCTTCTACATAACTAGTAAAGGAAATTCACAAGTTTACACTAATTATGATATGTGTAATATAAATGTTTTCATGCATTAATATTTTCATCTGATTTAGCATTGTATCAATCAATAATAATTTAAGGTTCTTATATACCGCTTTATGGGCGGATTGGTCGAGTGGTTAACACTCCGGCCTTCCAAGCAGGCGACCAGGGTTCGATCCCCAAAGTCGTCGTACGCATGGAATATTCAGAGAAAGTGTTTTTCTCCTACCCACACAACTCCCGAGTATAAAATGGTCTGGGGTGGATGTTGCGGTATCTGTGCTGTGCACGTGGCATTCAAGTGAGGTGGCACTATAAATGATACCGTTGGAAGTACGGTCCCACTACAAACAGAACACTATACATCTCCAGCATACACGCAGGCATTCACACATAGGGAGATATATAAGCCAGGTGGCATATAGGACTAGTAGTTTGCGCCTGATTTTATCAAAACCTAGTTGTTAGGTCGTCTCAAAGAGGTTCACAAATTGTGATCTGTGGTTATAGGGTCTTTGCAACCAGCCAATATCTTTCCTAACTCCCTGGGGAGCATATAGCGGGTGCTGCCATTTCTGTGCTCACAGCTAGCATTCAACAATTCTAGCACTGCCCAACCAAGTACTCATTTACAGCTGAGTAGACTGGAACAAGCGGAGTTAAGTATCTTGCTTAAAGATACAACATAGTTCTGTGCTGTGACTCGCACCCTCAACCCTTCGTTCACGAGCCCGGTGTCCTACCACTAGACTACTGTGCACGTGCCTCCTATAGTGTACTGGAACTTTCCTAGGTATTTGATCTGTTTGTCAACTGTTTTGTCGTTGTTCTTGTTATGATTCATAAGGAATATAAGAAAATGAAATCTGTGTTTTTGATGGAAGCAAAATGTACTGTCACCACTAGTACTGCCATCTTTTTAAACCCAACCCTAGACTTCTTTTCAAAAAGGAAAAGCATGAAGCAATGTTTTTCAAATTGTTGTTTTGTTCCGAACTGTTTCATGTCAAATCTATATTTTGTTGTTTTTTTCTCAGATAACCGATAAACTAGTCTCTGCATCTGAATTATTGAGTAAAATACTGCTAAACAACGGCATGTCATTCAGTCCCAGCTAATTATTCTATCAATTCAGTAGGCACAAACACTTTTCTTCATTACGATGAAGAGAGATGACCATCTGATCAAGTTAAAGTGAACCCTTTAAAGTGAACAGTATATTGCTGTCTCATGAGTGCAAGGGTAGCATTTTTTATGACACTGTAGGCTATTTCACCCTGTAGAGTGAAACAATACAGGTATTTGATATCTGAAATATACATTATATTCCAAATCTAAATCTGTTTAATGAACTGAGGAGTATAATGAACAGATAAACATGTTCCTAAACATGTAAATATGCACAAAATTAAGAGAACTTAGACATATTTATTCTGCTAATCACAAAACCAAATAATGAGTCTAAAATGTCCCTGCCATACTGTCAACATGTCAAAAACACATACATGTACAAGCATTTTTTCTTTGTATCTGAGATTTCTTCAAAATCAAACATGTGTTTTTGAGCTTCAGGAGAATCGATGATATTTCATAATAGTGATTAATACAGTATAGTAAACATTGTGGTGAATGGTGGAATAAATGACAAAAATTAATATATTCATGAGAGATTTCTCCATGCAATGGACTATTTGATGACACATTATGAAATAAATGATGTTATCACAATTATACTTTTTAACAAACGTGTCATTCGCATGATGTAATTTCAGCCTACAACAGCAGAGACATATCAGAAGTGCTCCACTTCAAATCACAATCGAAGTGAGTTAGAAATGGCTATAAATACATTTCGCACGGGCATAATATAGACCGTTCAACACGAATTGTACGTACAAAAATAACTATAATTTAATAAAGTTGGGTAATACATATACATCAATAATGTACAAAACACATAGATTGGGTATAAATACTAGTGAGAAAGGCCATAGGCAGATGGTGAATGTCTAACGAACTGACATTCTGTAATGAAAGTGCATGCATTCTTCTGGCATGTGCTTCTAGATACAGCATGTATTCGCGACACTGGCATGGTTTACAACGTGAACCGTCTGGAATTCGTTAACTTTATATATTCAATGTATGAAAGGGATATGTGTCGGGGGTTTGAAAGAACCATAAATCATAATAATCTTGATTTACTACGAAAACAAAGACAATAATTTCAGGATCAATTCTGGAGATAGCGTGGGATACGAGATGGGGACTGCTCACTTTACATGCGTTATAAACAGGATAAATATATTTTTTTAGACAAACTATCGGTGGCTCCTTGTGGAAAAATTATCGAAGAATCCAAAGAGCACCTCAAAATTATTATAGCTGTTGTCAATTTCCAATAATATTGTATTTTTTAAGGGTAACTCACCTTCGGAGGTCGTATGGCTTTGATTCTACGCGGGCAAAAGCTTATTTCTGATTGGTTAGATTTAGGGAAATTTCTGCAAAATTTTGTAACGGATGTGTTGATTGGTCAGATGTCGAAATATCGCTTAAAAGAGAGAACTCGAGAAATCCTTTTTACATGTTAAATTTGTTTTATAAGATCAAATTCGCTTAAGTTATGATAGGTTTGATATATAAAAAACGAACATATAAAATAGTTAACCACTAACTTATCCGAACTGATCAACCGTGGCCTAACATTTTATAATATGGCGGCGGACATGTTATTTAGGCCATGGAGAAAATGGTACATTTACAACGTTTTATGGACTTTTTGCGCGTTGAGATTACTGTTTATTGTTTAAAATGAGTGTTAACTGTACAGTTGTGCATAATCCGATGGATCTGACGCCATGTGCTTATAAAGTGATCGGTTCAAATTCGGTATTTGTCAATACCCAACAAAACGGGCTTTGTTCCGACTCGGTTCACATAGCACAGATGTGGGAGTGCATTGAGCACAGGTATTGCTATGCTTACCACTGACGAGCACAGTCAGGGAGTGACATGTGCCGGCACATCCTGTTTATGGAATATCATAACTGGAATTTATACATGTGATGCGAGATGACAAAGATTGGATATTAAAATCTACTAAAAATAGATAATGTAAATAACATGTGGGGGATAATGTTTCTTGTCATAGGCCTATTGAAAGATCGAAAGCTCAGCAGGAGCTACTAGGTATTTGTAGCTTTATTGAAAAGCCTAGCTGAACAGTTGATAGGCCAATTGGCCTAGATGATTTTATTTTGTGTAAAAGCTATTCTCCAGTGAATCATTACTATAAATAGTAAATATTAATGTTATCACCATATTATTGTATTAGTACTGATTTTTCTTCTGGTTCTACTAATTGCAACTTATCCGGGCAATAACTGTTAAACCGTTTAAGATATCTTGATGAATCTCGAGGTATGAATGCAGTGCACTAGAATTAGGTCACTGTGACCTTCACCTCAAGGTCAAAGGTCAAATAAGTGCAATATTTTCAGAAAATTGTTGTCCGTCCTGTAAATTTTAGACCATGAAAGATATCTTGATCAAACTTGAAGGATACCTGCATCACCCATAGAAGCTGTTCAATGCACTGGAATAAGGTCTCGTGCCCCACTATATACAGAGTTATGGCCCTTTGTTTATTTTTAATACCGTAGTTTGTCAGGAGCCTAAGTTCCATGTAATTTCACATATGTTGACCAAACTTACCATATTTGTGTATCTTAGGAAGGCAGATATCTCGCACTGAAATCGGGTCTCGTGCCCCGCTCTCTCTATAGTTATGGCCCTTTGTTTATTTTTAATACCAAAGTTTGTCCACAGCAAAACTTCCATTTTATTTCACCTACGTTAACCAAACTTGCTATAGTTATGTATCTTGGGAAGTAGGAGTGTCGCATTCTAATTTTGGGTCTTGTGCCCCACTGTAAAAAGAGATATGGCCCTTTGTTAATTTTCTAAACCGAAGTTTGTCTATTGGATAATAAGGGGAGACATATGCTTTTGTTCACAAAAACAAGTTTCACTTTTGTAATACAAATGGATCAAAATTCATTTCTGACTGCAGTGTTCATTTAGAGGTTTGAAAATGTCTAGATTGAGATATATGGGTGTCATTTGTTTCATTGTAACTCCCATATTTTGAAGGGTAAAACCTTTTCTAGTCAGTTTAGTAGTCATGTATGGATTATACAAATACAATGAAAGTCTTCCTTGGTATCTTTTGTCATCAGACTCTGAACAGAAGATCTCCTCACAACATTTGCCACATACCTGCAGATCTTCCAGCCACACATAGTGTTTGAAACATAAAAGCTGTACATTTTTAACCATGAACAACAATTAATATGACTGTTGCAATTTTAAAAATGTATGTATTTGGGCAGAACAGCTCTGGGCGAACTGGATCTAGGATGGAACAATTTGGGTGGCCAACCCACATTCTGTATTTTCTTAATATTCTGAACAATGCAAAAAAGTGCTTGTCATTCTGTCATCTGATAACAATAACAGCAAAATTTCAAGTTGTGGTTTCTGCAGCTAGCTAGGCCCTCTACAAATGAGGTGATGATAATTTTTGATGTGCAGTGAGATCACTCCCCCATAAGACCGATTTTTCATCATTTTCTTATTGGGTTCTTTATCAATTTAACCTATAAAATGTTCATCATGGACACCCTGTAGCAGGTGTCTGTGCAGTTTGAGGTTAATCGCCTGTTGTTGCACATTTAAAATTTAGTAATCGCACAGTAATTCTGTATATATGCCAAAAGTTAATTACACTGCATCTTACGGCTGTTTCGTCCTTCTAAGGACTCGTCAGTGATGCTAGAGGCCAAAAAGTTGGAAACTGAAATAGGTCTCAACAACTTATGTTGAAACAGAAAGGGGGGGGGGGGGGAGGTGCATAAAATCCTTCAAGAATTTCATAAATTTAGAGTGCTGGTTTATTTCAAAGTAATCATTAAAATATATGTATATTATGAACCATGCCACTATAAAGAGATTACTTTGGCCATCATGGTTACGGCGAACCCCGGGGACTAAAAAATCCACCAGCAGACTGAGAGTCTACATACATATATATATAGTTACCAACTTAACTTGTCACCTAACATAACACACACATTGTGATACAGTAGTCAGGATATCAGACATATCGCGATATACATCATTGTATCTTTAAAATTTAGTATTCGAAAGATCATTTTTAGTCACCTGACTTCTACTGTATAACCAAAATATCCAGGGTTATGATATATGCCCAGAAGGATGTTGGCATGAAGGGCTACCAAGTTTGTTCAAATGAATGACCTTCACACTCCTATTCAAGGTCACTGGGGTCAATTGTCTTAAAAACGTTTAAACAACCTCTTCTGTATAACCAAAAGGTTCAGGGTGATTATATTTGGTCAGAAAGATGTTGGGATGAAGGGTTATCAACTTTGTTCAAATGAATTACCTTAATTCGCCCATAATCAATGTCACAGCATCTTCGTTAGCCAATTGCAAGTGTTCGCTTCGTATACACTCCACTTACCCTTGGCGGGTATAGCCGTGTTTACGGAGTCTTCAAATTTTCGTGCGGTGCCAATCGCTCGCATCCAATGAAATCGCGTCTTACATATTGACAAAGGAAAACAGTAATTGCGACTCCCTGTACGGAAGCACGTTGTCGTTTATGTCAGTGTTTTGCCCCAAAAAAATAGGCGCACGATCTTTGGGGAAACTTCTTGAGTTTTAAATCAGTTGGTGGAAATCCTTGACTTTGTGCCAAATATATATGTAAATGATGACCTGGGAAAATATGTGTGCTGCCTTTGGATTGTTTCCATATTGTTCTGTCATTTACACTCCGCCTCAACATACACATGCTAATGTCAACACTCCAATGGAGTGTGTAATTAACGGTCATTCTGATTGGTTATAAGTTTTTATGGAAGAAGAGCGATAACTCGGTATATCCGCTAGGTGGCAATGGAGGGAATTATGAAAATACTGCTATATCTGCCAAGGGTAAGTGGAATGTATACGAAGCGAACACTTGGCTAGCGAAGATGAGGTCACAGGGGTCAATTGTCTTAAAAACCTTAAACGACTTAGATCTGTATAACCAAAAGGTTCAGCGTGATGATATTTGGTCAAAAGGATTGTGGGGCTGAAGGGTTATCAAGTTTGTTCAAATGAATGACTTTTGCCCATTTTAAGGTCACAGGGGTCAAATAGGTTTAAACTTTTAAACAATTTCTAAATAACCAAGAGGCCAAGGGTGTTGATATTTGGCCAGTAGCTTGCTTGGATAAAGGGCTTACAAGTTTGTTCAAATGAATGACCTTTGCACATATTCAAGGTCACAGGGGTCAAATATGTTGAAATATTTAAACTAATTCTTCTGAATAACCAGAAGGCCCAGGATGATGATATTTGATCAATAACGTGCTGGGATGTACAGGGTGATTGCTTGTAGATGTGAATGACTTTGACACACTTTCATGGTCACATCTGGTCCATATTGCATACATCTTTAAAAGTCATCTCAATAACAACAAAAGGTATAGGGTACTTTGGTGATATTTGGCAAGTTGCATTCTGGATGAAGGGCTATACATTTTTTAGGTCACCTGAGACAAAGTTTCAATGAAATTTTGCAGGGACCTTCCATGGACAAAGGTCAACAAAAATAGTTGCCGGTTTAGTCCTAAGCCCCCAGGGGCATGAGGTGCGGGGCCAAAAAGGGTCAAATTGACTAAAATTTCAAAAATCTTATTCTCCAAAACCCCTGAACCAATTTCAATGAAATTTTGCAGGGACCTTCCATGGACAAAGGTCAACAAAAATTGTGGCTGGTATAGTCCCAAGCCCCCAGGGGCCTGAGGGGCGGGGCCAAAAAGGGTCAAATTGACTAAAATTTCAAAAATCTTATTCTCCAAAACCCCTGAACCAATTTCAATGAAATTTTGCAGGGACCTTCCAGGGACAAAGGTCAACAAAAATTGTGGCTGGTATAGTCCCAAGCCCCCCGGGGCCTGAGGGGCGGGGCCAAAAAGGGGTGAATTGACTAAAATTTCAAAAATCTTCTTCTCAAGACCCAGATATGGTAGAATCAAATACTCTTCATAGATGGAAGGGTCTTAAGGTTTATGCCCCTAGGGTCTCACTTTTACCCCCTGGGGAAGGAGGGGGGGGGGCAAAATTTATTATGGTTTATAATTGACAGTTTGATACTTTGAAAATTTTGAGCCAGCCCTACCCACAAGGGCTGTAGGGTGGGGCTCAAAGGAGTCAGTGTGCTAAAATTTCTTCATTTTCCTTGTTAAGAATCAGAGGTGCTAGTTTCAAATCCTTTTTAGTCTGAAATCTGTATGCTAGATATTGAGTAAGGTGGTTTTATTGTTTTTTGTCACTGAATAATATTTCTGTTCATGTTACAAACAAAATCAACTCTCTGTATAAGTATATCAGGTGACCATTAATG